AAACTTATTATTAAACCCAAATAGCTTAACATGCACTCTTCATACTGTAGATAATTACAGGATCAGTCATATGAAAATGCATTGTATAGGAAAATAATCATTTTAGTCATTTCTAAAGCCATTTTTTGTAATGCCTATTTAATATCTTACTCATCTCCCACAATAATATACTGGCATTAAACCATCTTCATATGATTTCAGTAAATATTGATATGTAATCCATATGATTAATTCATCAGTAGGCTATATAATGTAATCTGATTCAATTTTATAATCGGTTGACAGGCCTAGTTAATATATTATAATATTGTGCCAACCTTGTCTTTAATCATATCAATATTTCACAGCGAAGTCATAATTGTTTTTACCTAAAGTCTTATGTTGCAAACTATATTAATGGCAGTATTAACAATGAAAAAAGCTCTCCCTTTGTTCTCAGTCATTTCAACAGTACATGGCTGTGAATCAAAGACTCCCGCTGTTGTCATTGCATGTTGTTTTTTTAATGCAGTTCTCCTCTTGAGGGTGAACAGATGGGTTTTGCAGTAATGCTTCAAACATTTTGAGAGGATCAGATTGACTGGTCCGTGTTTTTAAATGCGAGTTATCGAACAAAACCACCACAAATTTCTTAAGGAGCACTGAGAGACCTGCTTCTCCAGCTATAATAATTACACCCACTCCACAGGGGCAAAAACACTATGCCTACTCCATTAAAACTTGGCTTTGGTTCCTGGTTACACACAACCTTTCAACTAACAGGTGACAAAAAAAAAACATCCCCACAAAATAGTCAATTAAAGCATGAATCCAGTTTAGTTCTGTTCAACTAATTGCTAAAACCAGTCACTGCAGGTCTGAGGCCACAAAAAGGCCTTTGAAAATCAAACTGAGCAGTTCATCACTGTCATTCTGGTAATACACTCACTCTTTCCACACCGGTTAAAAAATAAAAAAATGTCGATCGGTTCCCATGGCAACATAGCACAGCAGGCTCCTGTTGACTAGCAGGAGCATCACTGTAGGGGCATTGAGGAGAGATGCCTCATCCTCAGCAAGCCACAAGTGTGTCTGGCCATACGCCATAGACCCAGCTCAAAGCCAAAAAGACAATGGCGGTTTTATGAATGAGAAGGCACCGGCTCTTTACCTCTGTGTATTAAGCCTATGGTCCAGACCGATGCATGTCTGCGTGCCCAAATATAACTAATCTGCTGTAATTCTAGCTTTAGAAATGTATTTATCTTGTAATTCTAGCTTTAGAAAATCTAATCTGCCTTTCTGATATCTGTGTTGTTTCGAGATGTTTAGAAAGATACGTCATGCCTGGAGTTAGTTCACATAATCAACGCTGAACTTGTTTGCACAAATTAAATCATTTTTTGGTTAAATGCTCTTCTGGTCCTCAGGCAAAGGCTACTGATATATTGCAACACTTTTCATTAGTAGAGAAGTGAATGGGGTTGGAAGTGCCATATTAATGTACCATTAGAAATGTCTATGCTTGAGTATAATTTTGAGGAGGAATGGAGATGGGGTCAAAAGTCAAGAATATTAGGGATAGATACAACAATTGATATGTCAGCAGAAGGCCAACAACATGGACCTACTTTGCTACTGTCACTGACTGAAAATAAATTATATCTTATTATTACACAGCACTCTAGAATACTTGCTTCTAATTGGTTACTTGCATCGGTCAGCAGTCAAATATTAATTAATAAATTACTGTTGTCCAGTATAACACTGTATAACTGAACGCTCATCAGAAAAAAACTATGTTTTCTACCTGGCTGTGCTGATGTTCCGTCTCTCCGCAGTCTCTACAAGTAAGATAATAAGATAATAAAATAATTCAATACCTCAAATATTTCATGGCCTTATCTTCACTTTTTTGGTTAATTGATGCTTTTAACACTTCCAGGGTTCTCAGAAGTGAAAATTGTTGAAACTTTTATAATCGTGAATGGAAACCACAACAAATATACTTTTTGTGTTCTCATTTTACCCAACAGCAAAAGACAAAATCCTCAACAGCGTTTCTATGACTTACCTAAAAAGGAAAAATATTATAGAGATTGATTATGGTGATCAGAAGAGAGAAAGATGTCAAATTTGCCATCACTCCCTCAGCCCTTGTGTTGGAAACACCCACACAACAGCATTAAAGAGTTTTCTGGAATTTAATGGCTGTAATTTAACACAATGTATAGTGTTTAAAATTCTTTAAGAATAAAAATATAAAAGATTTACAGATTTACAAAGTTAATAACTGTGGAAACGAATCATCACAAGACCCCTTCCTATGCATTTTTTGACACAGTTAACACTTCTTGGTTCCTGGAACATTGTGAGAATTTTGTTCTAGGCCTATATGGTTAAAAAAAATCTATTTTGAATTTAAATCTGGGCTTGTCTTGGTTTTCAAGAAGAGTAACAGCAACATACTATAATTGCAGTTCAGTTGCCATCTGAACCAAAACGTTTTTGTAGTTGAATAAATCATTTAAAGCAATAGCAAGCTGGCTTTGAAAGCATAAGATCCCACCCTCCCTGCATAATCACTCTCCAAAGCCACACCTCCTCCAAAACACATGAAGGAGCACAGGCAGACCAGAGGCTTACCAGTGATGAGAGATGGCAGTACAGAGTGCACAATATTAATAATAACGCCAACGGTGCGCAGAGGTATGCAAATACACATGTTGACAGGCAGGTAGGAAAGCCTATCGTAATGTTCGGACTGAATAATCTGATTGGTCGAACATTTTATAGTCCTACGCCTTCCACAGACAACATAAATACAAATAAATAGATTTAGACCACTTAACTTGATTGCTATCGGGATGTGAAAAGACTTTCAACCAGCATAACAAAAAATGTTTTTTAACTAAATCAGTCACCTACCCTGCCTTTAATTGAACGAATTGGTCTCGTGCATTTTCACACACTATTTTTCTTCACATGGCGCACTAGTGGTTTTGGTGTGGAACTGAGTCCGTTTGACGTAATGTAACTGCTGTGAACGTTTCTTGGGAACGGTTTGCGTTGTATATAAAAGCAATCCGTTACGTGACGGCGTAGATTTTCTGCAGAACCGAGCGCAACAAAAACATTAAAATATTTTTACCAGTTGTAAACAGTGGGCGCAAGTACTCACTTTGGTACTTACTTATACTCACGTTTAGTGGTTTAAACCCAGAAACGAAAAACTAATGTGAAGAGGGATAAGCCGATCGTAATGTTCGGACTGAATAATCTGATTGGTCGAACATTTTATAGTCCTACGCCTTCCACAGACAACATAAATACAAATAAATAGATTTAGACCACTTAACTTGATTGCTATCGGGATGTGAAAAGACTTTCAACCAGCATAACAAAAAATGTTTTTTAACTAAATCAGTCACCTACCCTGCCTTTAATTGAACGAATTGGTCTCGTGCATTTTCACACACTATTTTTCTTCACATGGCGCACTAGTGGTTTTGGTGTGGAACTGAGTCCGTTTGACGTAATGTAACTGCTGTGAACGTTTCTTGGGAACGGTTTGCGTTGTATATAAAAGCAATCCGTTACGTGACGGCGTAGATTTTCTGCAGAACCGAGCGCAACAAAAACATTAAAATATTTTTACCAGTTGTAAACAGTGGGCGCAAGTACTCACTTTGGTACTTACTTATACTCACGTTTAGTGGTTTAAACCCAGAAACGAAAAACTAATGTGAAGAGGGATGTAGAACTTAACTCAAGTTCTGACCAATCAACCATTGTTAAAACAATCTGGTATTTCTCCCTTTAAGCAGAAGACGAGAAGGAGCCAATAGAATTCCAGCTCGGGCTGTAAAGTAGTATTTCATTGTTTGGCCCTACTGAACGAATAGGCTACGCACCCTTCCCTGAACGAATCGGAGTTTTGAGCGGCATCTCATTCGTGAATTAATTGAATGAACAAAAGAAAACACCTAGTTTGTCAACGAACTAAATAGGCTAAACAAAACATTTCGTTCATGACCGAACTAAATGAACAAAATATCCTATAGGCTATGTTTGTGAGCGATTTTAACGAATCAGGCATCTCGTTCTTGATTAGACTTATGTTTATTTTTTCTTTTCCGAATCAGTTTATTTAGCAAATCTGGCGTGTATCGATATAACAGAAAACGAATCAATGAATCTTTTTAGTAATTCAAAAGATTCGAGTCACTGAATCAATCAAATCCTCCAAATTCCTTCACCTCAGCCACTTTTCCATCTTCCCTCAGCCATTGCAACTGCAAATGAATTATATATATATATATATAGAGAATTTGAATGGAGAAATAACACGAAACGAAAAAGAAGGAGAGTGAGAGAGGGAGAGGATGTGTTTAAATGGACTGGCGACAGACGTATTTCCACCAAGAGAGGGAAACGGCATCTCTCTCCTGCTAAATAGACATGATGAATGAGAGAGAAGCTGCTTCTGACAGACATTATGCTATAAACGTTATAGGGATACAAGTGTGTGTGTGTGTGTGTGTGTGAGGAGCGAACACAGAGCACCCGGCACTGCAGCACTGAATGCCGCGATCAGACGTCACATGCTGTTTATACACAAGTGAGGGCTACCTGCATCTTGTTTTTGTCTGAGAGGTTCTGCTGTGTCTGTTTGTTTCTGCTGTTTTGCTCGCAGACGGCCACAGGAAACGGAACATATCGCAGACAAAACAAACACACAAACGGTTAATATCCATACATGTACGGTCTGTCTCTTAATCTAGATGATTCTTTAAAAGAATGTAGCCTATTCATAAGAGGGCCAGTTTATACTCCGCATTGCGTTGAACAATTAAAACCTCCAAACAATATAGTTCAATTGAAATTATTCGAATTTCTAAATTTAAATTCAAACGTACAGTTTCAGAAATTAAACAAACAAAAGAACCTTTTTTTTGGAAATGTTTGGAACCTGGACACTCAAACAGGTTGTCAACAAAATAAACCAAAATATATCTCACCGTCTATGGCAAATATGGACGGCACCAGGAGCAATGTAATTCCAACAGATATCAGACACTTGGTCCACACTCCGTCCAAGTCGACACATTTTCGGCACAAGGACAAGCCTATCCATTCCGACATGCCTTGGGTTCCAGCGTTGCCATTCCCGCAACTGGAGCCCAAAATGTAGAAATTGTTACGCGCATTTCTTGGGGCCATCTGGCTAGAGATAAATTCAGCAATAGGCCGAAAGGTCCCGAAAAAGACATTTGATCTATCCTTTCCAGTTCCTTAGACTGAGGTCTTCTCTCCACTGTTTTTCTGCTCTATGTCAGCATTGAAACTTTAAGGCGATGCGTCTGCAAAGCGCATTCAGAAGCATCCGTGACCACCACATCAATCACGCGCGCGTTACTGGAGCAGGTTATCCATCGTGCTTCATTAAAGCATATTCTGCATAGGAATCCAGCAGCGGCAATCCTATAATCCCGCACTTATGTCAATGATGCTGCGACGGAAAATCGGCTGCTTTTGATTGGGAAAAAATATCACGTCTCCAAGCGAACTGGTGATGAGGCGCCTTATTATAAGGACTGATGTACAAGAGGAAGACGACCTCTGCTGGGTTTACATGAGGATGACTGGTGCCAATGTACACACCAATTCTGTCCCTCGACATCATACAGCCTGTTATTATGGGTCGTTCTATGAAATTCTTTACAAAAAGAACAAATAGCGTATAATCTGAATCTTAAATAAAAGTAATAACGCAATCTTTTATGGTGTGGCTATACCTTTAAAAAAACAGTTTAAATTCATTTTACCACAAGGTGTGTTTATAGGACAGAATTTAATACTGGTACCTACAATCTAAAAATTAACAGTTTTCGGTGGATTCACGTTATATGGTTAAATATTACAGTTAAAATGCTTTAAATATGAAAGTAAATTTAAGGTGAACTGCAGCATGAATTGACCTGGAATTGCTCCTTAAATCAAGTGATTTTATATTAAACTGGGTATTAAAATATACCAATTAAAGTATTAAAATACGTGTAGGCCTAATCTTTAGAAAGGTTTTAGCATAATAAATGTCCTTGTGTGCTTATAATATGTTGTCTGTTACGTAACAACCGGAAGCACCATTATAAGACGTCATAAAAAGATTTGGTTTCCACCCACATGATGGCGCAATTTCGTTAATTTCAACTCGAGTTTTTTTTTGTCATGTCTCAGGTACACTTTTTAATACCATATTATTTGTGGTTTAATTTTTAAATATAATTATTATCTAGTGTAAATATAACAGACAAAATATAAATAATCTGCAGAAAATAAAACCCTTGTATTTTGTGTTATAAGAAATTTGAAATTAACATTTCTAGGAACAAATGAATATCCATCAAGTTGGAAAATGTTCTCAAACAAGTTGTCTTAAAGATTTCTTTAAATAAAGACAAACAAACTGTGTGCCCGCAACAATATATATTTTAATTCAAAGTGAATTTTGACAATACACCATTTCTTTAATTTGACACTCACCAAATAGTCACCAGGAAAACCCGCTTTTTGTGACAAAGTACATAAGGCTTGGTCACATATAAATCACTGAGAACTAGAGAGAAATACGACTGCAAACTGTAAGAGACATTACATCCAAAAATAAAAGAAAAAACAAACAAACAAACAAAAAAGGTTTCCCAGTCTTCGTATAGTGAATATTGCACAGTGCAGTGGCTACATGGCAAACTAATGTAGCATAGAAATCAAAAGCAAACAGAAATCAAAAAGCCACAAAAAATTTACAAATATGAAAACAGTAACAGTTCAGATTTACTAAATCAAGTCTGTTTGCTCTTAAGTCTAAATATTACCGATAACTTGCAGTGAGATTGAACTTTTACTAAAATATAATCTGTAGAAGATTTAAAAATAGATCTAAAGCAATCCAACCCAAATCTTACGGCGAGTGTTACACAGTAGCACATATGACAAATACAAGGACCCTGAATGAACTGTACAAGAACTTCTAAAAGAAAAACATGAATCAAAGAAAACAAATAAAAACTGTTTGGTTTGGGATTTTTTTGGGGGGGGGAACTTTAGTTTGCAGATCCCTCAGTCCATAGCAATTGTGCTAAGATCCACTCTTTTATTAGGTTGGGTTTGGTAGACCTTGTTAGAATGAAAACATCTCTGAAATGTTTACTTGCAGTGAATTAATGCAGTGAATTCATATAATGTGTGCGCATGAGTAGCAATTTAGTACTCATCTCTAGTGCTACATGCTAAATATAAAATATAGGGTCATAATGTGAGAAACCACACCATATTTTGGACTATATCTCCATGAAGTCGGCTACACTAAAGCAATACACTGATAACGTCCTGTGAAACAAAGGGCAATGTTAATTCTGCTTGACAAATGGTGGTTTACATTCACAGTGTATCATGTATAGCTCCCCAAATACGAGAAAACCGTGTCTTGGGTGTCTAGTCAGCACAATAATAATCATAATCCCTGATATCATTTCATTATTGATTTTTGTTGTTGGTCATAAAAATATAAATTAATCAAGCATGACTGGATTTCCTTTCCACAATTTTGAGAAATAAACATCCATTTTCCACCTTAAAGGTGATTACTGCATTGCATGACTCGCGCTATTGGTTTTCAGGTTATCAACATCTGACAGGACGTCTACCGTGGATTATGGTCTACTTTTAAGCAACTGGTTGGTAACAGCACTTCAGTTACGACTATCAAACACTGCAGTTACGCTTTCATTCCTCGGTCATGCCGTCCGAGGGGGCATGAAAGAGAGGAAGAGGCTGGCCGGCAGTGTTTGTAGAAGGGATATAAAGGTCTGAAGCACATTTCAAAGGCACTAACGCAGTGTCGCTCGCTTTAAAGAGCAGGGACCGATGCGAGAACAAACATACCCATATAATGAGAGCCCACAAAATGAGAACAGATGCCCTAATAACTCAGAACAGTCCGTTTTAAAAAGCAAAACGTGCATTTTGTCTTGTTTTTTCATTTATAAACACATTAATATACCTGATACAACTTCATGAGTGTATTGCATGTACAATTATAATAATAAGGGGGGGAAATTAAATAAAAACAAAAAGTTCTAAGCACTGTAGTTACTGAGATGAGACGCCCAAACACGCAATTTTGGCTAGCTTATCAAAAGTAGCAAGTGCTAATAGCATTACTGAAATTAATAGTCTGAAATGGTGATATAAGTGGGTCATTGAATACAGAATTTACATTGATACTTAAAACAAAGTTAAATCTATTCTGCAAGCTATGCTTTAACAAAATGCAAATATACGTACTAAGATAGATATACACCAATATGCATCTAATACGTAAGATTAGCCCCAAGATAACAGATAAAATACTGATGCAAACGAAACGTAAAAGAATACAAACCCACGCACACAAAAATCCAAAAATCGCCATTACTTGCAATACAGTAGTTACAATGACACTTCAAAAAAAGAAAGCAAAACAGAGAGAGGCATTAAAATGCTTCTGATGCCAGTCAGTACGGTAAAACCCAAAAACAAACAAACGAAAAAAAAAAAAAAATCATCTCACTTCTATTTCAAGGTCATTAGACATGTATAAAAATAAGAAGGCTAAGAACAAAGTTAATCATCTAATTTCACAGCTATTATGAAGTGGCAATCAGAATATAGCAGCTTATCTATGATACATTCAAGAATAAATGAAACAAAGTCATAACTTGCCCGAAAAAGCTAAACATCAACCTCAACATTTTTACAAAGATTTTCTGTTAAATACGGCCTCAACTACACTACGTTCGAGGTCTACGCTAAAACAGTAGCTACTCTGCTTAAGAAATTAATGACTGTCTTTGGTGTAGCGAAAGCATAATGAAAGAATGCACCTAATGGAAAAACTCAAATCTAATTAAAAAAAAAATGTAATTCACACAGAAAAAAAAGCTATTTCTCCCTGACGGAATGTATGAAATAAAAACAGCATCAAAAAAGCAATTAAATTGTGAGAGAGGGAATACAAAATCCAATCTTGTCAAAATGCATCTATGAAGAAAATTGCACACGATCAACTCTCGTCTAATAAAGCACTGAATACTCCAGCAATGATAGACTTTACAGTTGGATACTCAAATACTGAATAATTCTGCACAAAGCAAACATGAAACCATACAATATCATCAAAGAGCTATCTGCTGATACAAATCCAACACCGATAACACTTCTAACTCTAAAATTAACAGAGAACTGATGGAAAGAAAACGATAAACACACCCCGAAAACTATGGATTGTATTGCAGTTTCATTAAACAGTGTAAATACTATTAGAGTAGAAACAGATTATCAAATATGAAAGTACTCAAACGTTTCTATACATAGTTCATCGGCCTCTGCTACGGCGAAGCACGTTATCCTCAAAGAATCAAGCTCAGCTACCACTCAACACAATACATCCACCTCTAAATAACACACGTAAAGGACTGTTTCGCTTCCAAATAATGCGCAAATCATCTAAGGTGTCAAACAAAACATTTCGCCTGTACAAAAGGGCAAATCATGAGCCTAATATTGGCGCAAATAGCCAATCGGGTGTTGAATAGTGAGATTTTTTTGTTGGTTTAAAACATGAGACCCATTAGGGCGCATTTGGATAGACACCCAATCTGCTTTCTGAACAAAAAACTCCCGTCGCGACCCCAAGAGATGAATTAAACAAGTAGAAACGACACCGATGTATTGATTATGTAAGCCAACGAATGCGCTAATGCACCAAGCACGAAAAAACCAAAGATCTACTTTATGAAACAGCCCTAATATAAAAATCACAAAGAATGATTGAAAGTTTTTCAAGTGCTGCAGTCCAGTACACGCATGACTGCATGTGGGACTCGGGGTAACTTGCAACAACATGTATTTTAAGGCACTGTTTATTGAACCCCAATAAATTCAATGCAGCAAGTCGTACAACATATACACAGAGGGCGAAAAGCGACGGTTTGCAGGCCTTCCCCCCCTTTTTTGAAGTCCAACATTGGTTTTTGCCCATGCAGAGACATGCAGCGTGACAGAACCTTTTCAACACAGGTCTAAAAGAGACTTAACACTGAGGAGCTATGGAAAAATACGGACAGGTAACACCAGGTCGCCACAAGGGGACTCGCACGCACATTGGCGACAGCGATGGCTTGAACGAGAGTCTAATACACACGTCAGAAGGCAATATCGAAAAATAGCATAGGGGATCTGCTGTGGCCCTCTGCCGAGGGTCTCACGACTAGGGATTTTGTTGTATCAAATGTGCAAAAACACATTAAAAGTGAGTTTTTGAGTTCAATCTACTCACTCGCTCACGCATCCATTTGTTTGTTTTATGTTCCATGATATCTATAAAGCTCGATTTGCATCATCATCATCACTGTTGTCAAACTTCATAAGAAAAGAAAGATGTGGCAGCTCAGTGCCGGCTGCGTGCGCGTGGCTGCCGCGGGCTCCAGCTCAGATGTAAGGGTACTGACTGAGTTTGCTGGGGCTGAGGGGGAAGCCTGCGTAGATGGGTGACGCCACATAGGAGTGCGGGGGAAAGAGGGCTTTGAACTGGCCCTGCGGGAGCAGGGTGGGGGAGGGCAGCAGCCTGTGGTTGATGCCCATGCTGATGCCCTGATGGTGCACCAGGCTGTAGGCGGGCTGCAAGATGGCCCGAGGGGCCGGTGGTGGGCATGGCGAAGGCAAGAGGTGGGCCACGGGTGCGGAAGGCGGATAGGAGAGGAGGGCGGGAGGTGGCGGGTGGCCGGCCGAGTGTATGGGGCTGCCGTGGGGAAGCGAGAAGGTAGGGCCGTGCACTGTGGGCGGGATGAAGGCCTGTGGCCGGCGTGGCTGCCGGTAGTTGCCGTTCCACTCCTTGTGGCACGACCCGTAATGCTGGACCTGAGCGGGAGGAAACAAAACAATGTCAATTTCATTCCAACAATTTAAATAGCAACTGAAAGACCTTATGAACTGCCCCGTCTCAATGTATTTCCTATTTAAAATCATTATAATATGGATGAACATAAAGAGGGCTTTGAATTGGGCCTGCGGGAGCAGGGTAGGGGAGGGCAGCAGCCTGTGGTTGATGCCCATGCTGATGCCCTGATGGTGCACCAGGCTGTAGGCGGGCTGCAAGATGGCCCGAGGGGCCGGTGGTGGGCATGGCGAAGGCAAGAGGTGGGCCACGGGTGCGGAAGGCGGATAGGAGAGGAGGGCGGGAGGTGGCGGGTGGCCGGCCGAGTGTATGGGGCTGCCGTGGGGAAGCGAGAAGGTAGGGCCGTGCACTGTGGGCGGGATGAAGGCCTGTGGCCGGCGTGGCTGCCGGTAGTTGCCGTTCCACTCCTTGTGGCACGACCCGTAATGCTGGACCTGAGCGGGAGGAAACAAAACAATGTCAATTTCATTCCAACAATTTAAATAGCAACTGAAAGACCTTATGAACTGCCCCGTCTCAATGTATTTCCTATTTAAAATCATTATAATATGGATGAACATCCAAGTGAAAACAGAAGGGGACTAAAACAGCTAAATCTAAAACATGCATTTACAAAAACGATAGTCTGACATTTCATACCTAAAAGAAATAGACCAACAACCAACAGTTCTTGCCAAGACAGAACTGCTTGTGATTCCATCAAACCCATCGTTTCATCAGAATTTCACCATCCAGTTAGGCACATCAACCATAATTCCTTCAAAAACAGCCAGAAATCTGGCAATCAAGAAGATCAGGCCCTTTCTTTCGGAACATGCTTCACAACCCCTAGCCGCACCGTTCTCAAGCTCACCGCCCGCCGCCGCTCACTCAAGCCAGCCTCCGCTCACTCTTGCCCGCCGTGTGTTTCGTTGTGAAAGCAAAACTACTTTGTTTGGCCTTCCAAAAGAGGACACGACTAGAAATCAGTGGTTAAGTTGTTTTTAGCAACATCATATGACCCCTTTAAAAAAAAAGCTTGCTCTATTCTATCGGGTTTCTTTTTATTTATTATACAAAAAATTTTTTTTTAGAAATTGCTACGTGTACTGCGTTAAGCTAACTGAGACTTGTTATAGCACTTGCATATCATTGCTCTCTTGTTGATTTTGATTGCTTCCATTGTCCTCATTTGTAAGTCGCTTTTGGATAAAAGCGTCTGCTAAATGATTAAATATAAATGCAGTTCACACCATAGTCATAAATTGCTACTTGCTAGTTGGTTGCAGGTGTTATTAGTGGATAGGACATTTTCATTCTAAAGCATTTGATTGGACAATAAATGTGTATAACGCATGATGAGTCACCAATATTTTTGGTATATTTGAATATGGTTATTGGCTATTTTTTTTAAGCATGTAAATGGTCATACTTTTATTATGAACCACAGAGCATTTATCTACTTTTACAATTTGTACAGTATTACAGAAAAAAGCCAAAAAGACAGACCTGGCCAAAGCCTGGCGGCTGTGGCTGGAATGAAGAGCTCAGTTTCTGCTGGCGGGGCAACGTGGGTGTGGAAAAGTGGCTCAGTCGTCCTGGGCCGCAGCGACCTCTGGACTGGCAGTAGGATTCTAAGACTACAGAAAGCATAAAAGACCAAAAAGTGAGTGATCATTAAATAAAAGATATAAGAGGAAAGAAAGATGATTAAACTTAAATGCAAAACTTCAGCTTATATAAATTAACATTTGCAGTTTGGCACAAGAACTGCAGCTTGTACGAACTGAATCGGCTGCCAGTATTCACTGACGTTCTGTTCAAAAGAAAGTGAATTAAACATCAAAACCAACAAGTATGAACTGCGAGGTTGTAAAACAAACTTAGATATCAATGTATCTAAAACAAACTCTCCTCAAACTTTCCATGGACACCCCAAAACAAACATGTTGCCTGGGTAACGTGCCATGAGAAGCATCTGAAAGAGTTTACCGCTCCAGCAATATTTCTTTCAAAGCATGCTTCGAAAACAAAGCATTGGCTCCACATAGGAAACAGGACAGATATGCTTTGGTACGAAAGAGGGAGGTCGGGGAAATATTTTCCAATAAATAAATAAATAAATTTAGGGCATTCAACACGCAGAGTAAAAATGAAGATAGGAATGAAGAGATCAGGTATGGGAGAGGAAGCTCAAACCGAAAGGGTCTCACTCAACACTGGGATGTCGCGCACAAGACACTGGGTCACAGTGCACGCTATACCCATAATCACCTGTGATAGTCTCTGTGACAACTTCCTTTTTCTCTCCTATGACCTGTAAAGTAGACATTGGCTGTAACTACACCAAAAAATTGGTTGTGCAGAAGGAACTTTGTAATAATGGCCCAATTTGAGACTGGGGGGAAAAATAAATTCAGAGAAACCAGTCTGTATAGCACACAAACATCAATTTCACAAAACTATGATCCGAACGAGCAGAAACTGTAGCTATGTAAAATCTGAGCTGTGGATGTAAATGAGATGCAAATAGCGCTTCATTAAACAGTTGTACTTTAACCTGCACAAGACATTAAAGGAACATTCTGGGTTTGACAGAAGTAGTTCAGCTCTTCAGTTTTTTGTGGTCCAATGGCAAAGAAAATCATCTTGACTGTCCCTCATTTTGTAAAAAAAAAAAAAAAAAAAAAGTCTATTCAGGATAGCATTGCACTAGGATACACGTTAAAACACAAAGTTTTTTAAAATATAGCTGTGACACTTAAATAAGTTCTATTGCAAAAAAAAGGGAAGCACTAATTTTTGCAAATTCATAATCCGAACTCATGTCATGTAAAGCCATTAAACACTATAAACTCTATAAATAAAACAAAGAATGCTATCATCCAGCAAGGATGCATTAAATTGATCAAAAGTGACAGTAAAGAATTATAATTTTACAAATTATTTCTATTTAAAATAAATGCAGTTCTTTTGAAATGTATTAGAAATACTATCCACAGAAATATTAAGCAGCACAATGTACAATGTTTTCAACATTGATAATGAGAAAGGTTTCTTGAACACCAAATCAGCATATTAGAATGATTTCTGAAAGACAAATTAAAATGATTTTAACAAAACAGCCTGTATCAAACCCAGAACATTATTTTAAGAAAACATCAAAGCACTAACAACTGCTTAACTTCCATTAGAACCCTTCATATATTTCTGATAACCTACAACTGGACTTATTCTTGTGTGTGTGGACAGTCCATACCTGTGCCGGCTGTGTGCTGCTCATTATTTGGATGATGGTTATTGTTCAGCACTCTCATGGGTGGCACCACCACGGTCCTCACTGCAGGTTTATTCAGCGCCGTGCTGGGGTGTCCACGCCTAGCCTGGGGTTCCTGGTTCTGGTTCTGATTGGTCAGGAAGCGTCTTTCAGGGAAGGGGCTGTCGTGAGGTCCTAGGGAGGAGTCTGAAGGGGGCGAGCCGTCTACTGTTTCACACCCACTTTCATGGCCGTCATCTTCCGATATACTGCAGTAAGTCACAGGAGAAAAAACAAAAAAAATAAACAATGAAAATACATTTAGACTCCACCTCACCTCACAGTTCTACTGGTGTTAGTAGTTAGGAAAATACCGCACCTGCTGGGTCTTTTGCATGGCGAGGGGCTGGATTGTGCCGAAGCTGAGGAGCTGGTGCTCAGACTGCTATCAGGACTGCTGAGGGAACACACTCGCTCCATGTTCAGAGAGCCTGTGCATGCCTCACACTCCGGACTGCCCTTACACCTGTCAAAGAACACACTCAACTCAATTTAGCTATGAGATCCATATGTATGCAAACAAAACAGAATCTGAAAGTTTAATGTAAGTCCACAATTTACAGTATTTTCATGTAGCATATTGTTTATTCCGCTGAAATCTACTTATGTTGGTCAAAAAGTCATAAATTAGCAGCACCCTCTCACTGACCCTGTGAATTAAAGAGGGTGCTACTGCACCTTTAAGAGTTCTATATGCAAATGGCCTCCGGCTATTCTATTTGAGAGTGAAATAGGTCACACCACCCCACCAAGTTGCAGACTATACATTTTTGTTTGTTTGTTTTTTAGGGAAGGGACATAAATTAATACTTTTGATCTATTTAATGCATCAATGCTGAATAAAAGTATAGAAATTGTAAATAAACTGATAAATGTTACAAAAGACTAATTTAAAATAAATGCTGTTCTTTTGAACTTTCTATTCATGCATAAAATGTATCACAGTAATTAGTATTAAGCAGCACAAATGTTTCCAACATTAATAAGAAGAAATGTTTCTTGTACCAAATTAGCATATTAGAATTATTTCTGAAGGATCATGTGACACTGAAGACTGGAGTAACAGCTGCTGAAAATTCAGCTTTGACATAACAGGAATAAATTACATTTTAAAATACATTAAAATAGAAAAGTTATTTTGAATTGTTCAGAAACTTCAGAAAAAAATACTGCATAATGAATGTTCATCTCACTTGTTAAGGGAGCACCTCTGTGCTTGTTCCTCTTCATCTGTGCCGCTGCTTATGCTAATGATGCTAACTGCCGGGCTGGGTGACTCTCTGATAATAGACTGTCGCTGCTGATTGGCCACTGCCGTTTTACAGCAGCTCTCCTCCTCCACCTGCTCCGGTTCTGGTTTCACCTGGGCCTGCACCTCTCTGTCAGGAGAGCTCGGCTGTGGCTCCGCACTCGCCAACCTGTCTGCCATCTTTGGTGACGGACACACTGAGGGCTGGGTGTCCGTGTAGTGCAAGACATTCATACTCCTAGAAAGCAACAAAAATTATTATATTCAGTCAACTTTACCTTTCGGCTAAACATTAGACTAAAAACCCGAATGAGCTGCCTAACAAGAGTATCATAAGGTTCGAATTGATGGTTTTTGGGCCCCGGCCAATGACTGTAGGCTCTTGCTCACCTGTTATGGCTGGGTTTGTTCCTCTTGTTAGATGCAGGCTGAGGCCAGACCACATGAGCAATGCCAATGTTTATAGGCTGATGGGCTGACACAGCCATTTGGTTGGGAACAATAACCTGGGGCATCACCGAACTGTAATGGCTGCTGTGTGGCCGCACTTTCCTTTAACAGATAAACAAACAACACATTTTAGGTCACCAAAACGCTCAAGAGGTGGTGTCAGCTCATGATATTTGAGGTGCTTCTTGATCTTCTTACCCCCAGTCTCCTCGCCTCTGCGGTCCAACAACTGAATCGGATGCCAAGCTCATAGCAGGTGGCGGGACCTGCTGCCAAGCTGGCACCAGGATCTGTGGAGTCCTGTTGGACCATGGTTGCTGTAAGGTTGAAAAAGGACAATGCTGAACCTTTGTAATGTATCTGGCTTCAAGTTTAATATCGAAACTGGTATGTCAACATGGATAACAACCCTCGGCTGTTTTCCATTATTTTTCCACATCATCTTGTGAAATGAGGACTTACTTGTGCTATAATTCCTGGTCTCATGGGTAAAGGCTGGATAGCTGGGGCTTGGGTCACCAGAGAAAGAGTGTTCTCCATTCTAACCGAATATCCTGCTGGCTGATTTGGGTTTGAAGGGATTCCTGTAGAGTCAAACAACCAAATCAGCTCCACACAATATTTATTACATTGAAAATCAATAGTAATGCTCAGTTCAAATTAGGGCTGCAAGATTAATTTAAATAAATTCTAAATTTGCAATAACAATATGTCGCTTATAACATGCATTTAAGAATGCAACATGCAACTTGGACTTATAAAGCATTTATAAACCAGCTGTTTGTCCACAAAAGTGGAGCTTTAAGATCTCCCTACGGTTTCCACTATTATAAAAGCTTGATGGTATAATGTTTGAGAATAAAGAAATTAAAGACAGCCATAAATATTAGGCTATCATTTTTAAGTTGTACTGTAAAATAAAATGATCATATAAGTATTATTTTCTTAAATACTGGATTTTTTTTTTACAGTGAAATATTAGAAATATTTCTTATTAAAAATTATTAAAAAGTAATTTATTTTGTTAATTGTTATTTTTTTATTTTAGTAGTTTAATTATTTTATAATAATAATAATAATAATAATAATAATATGGTAAAATAATATAAATTATTTCATTTAACAGTACATTTATTATCATAATCATCATTATTTTATAATCATATTGATTTTTCTATATAAGCATTTATAAACTGGCTGTTGTAACAAGAGGAGCTTTAAGATCTCCCTACAGTTTCCGCTAATTTAGAGCTTGATGGTTTAATGTTTGAAAATAAAGAAATTAAGACAGCTATAAATATTAGCACTGAAAAATTATTATATTAGTATTATTTTTCTTAAAGGGAAATATTACTAAAAAGTAACATTTCTTATTTTGTTTAATATTTTAATTTAGTAGCAACAGTAGTAGTAATCATAATAATAACAACAATTATTACTTTTACAGTAAAATTACTATCATCATTATTTTATAATAATCTTTATACTGTATATATATAATCACAAAGTTTTAGGCCAAATTGTGGCCTAAATCACATTTTAAATCGTAATCACTATATTTTTAGAAATATAAATCATATCGACTTACATAATCAAAGTCTTAGGCCAAATTGTGCAGCCCTACAAATTACAACAAACTTTTTTTTTTTTTAAATAACATTCTAAATTGCAATTTTTAGAAAAATTCCAATACGATTTTTTCCCCCCTAAATCATGCAGCCCTAGTTCAAATTATTATGCACATCCCATTACCTTGAAGAGCAGGAGGACATAGAATGAGCGCCTGCTGAAAGGAATCGTTACACCCAAACTGGGCGCTTCCTGTCTGGATGGGAATTCCTGGATGCACCACAGGTGGAGCAGATGGCGCCAGGGTCTAAAATGGAAAGGTAAATAGATCAACGATCAGGAACAATCTGTTGTCTTCTTGCTTGCACTTAAACCCCAAGTCTTTTCAGAGTGTGCGCTTTTACCTGAGAGTGGACAGACAGCATTTTGTTGAAGGCGACAGTGATATTTGGAGCACTTGGAAGCGTCACAGGCTTCATAAGTGGGGGTGCTTTTTTGCGGTTGAGAGTATTGTACATGCTGGTTCTTGTGTGACACATGTCCATGATGTGGAAACAAGACTGGACACTGTTGGAGACACATTCCTTGAGAATGACCACACATAATAGACAAAACAGTCAGTGAAACTGGCATTAAAAATGTCTGGACATACTGATTGCAATGGGGGAAATCCATCAGGTGCTGCATAGTGACAAAAGGGTGGGTAAGTGCATCTGAAGGGGCGATTCTCTGATCGGCATCAATCATCAGCATCATCTTTAGCAAGTCCACGAATTCTCTCCGGTCAGCTTTCTCCGCCAACTGGTCACAGCCCTCCATGCTGAGCATTAGATTCACCTGATAAATGAATACACAAATAAAAAATACAATTATCATCATCATTAATATTATTACTGCATAAAACAACAAAATAACATCAATAATAATTACAATTATTATTATTGTTTGTTTTTATTACTATCATTATTTTTTATATAATAGTATTTACATAGTTATAACAATAATAATATAACAACAACATATCATTATTTTATATACACACAATATAAAACAATATTGTATTCACAATATAATTATATTATTGTATATAAATGATCATTAAAGCGTCAGTCCGTAAGTTTTGCCTCTTTGTCGCCATCTCTGTTCGAAAACCTTCAATTGCAGCTATTTGCGGAATTATCTTCCTTGCGTGGGTTGTGCACCGGCACGGCTCCAGCGCGGATGAATCTAATGTGGCTGTCAGTCTGCAGATACTGCACTTTGTATTCACAGATTCTACATCTTTAAAGTATGACCCAAATAAGAGTTTTCACTGGAGAATGTCATCTGAACAAGTAAGTCTCAACTGCCCCTTTTGTTCTGATCAACTGAGGAAGAAAACATTACAATAAATTGCGCTATCAATGGTGATTAAATCTAATGATCAGTTAGCTCATATCACATCTTGCGGTGCCAATTATTATTTTTGCTATACTTTTTCAAATTGCTGACGTTGCATGAGCATTGCATGAGTGTGTGTATTTAGTGTGTATTAGCGTTACCTGTAGATTTCAATTTCTGTACAGTCTAATCTCTAATTGTCATACCATTCAAATTTCATAAAGAAATCATAAAGAATTTCATAAAGAAATTGTTCTTTTAACCCAAAAAGCAAATTAAAGTTCCTTACAACTTGTTCTCTTTGAAATAAATCTTTTTAGTACAGAGTAATCCCACGTATCTAATCAGATGCACATTTAAAACTGGAATATAATATAATTTCAGTCATTATATTTTTCTGTAGCCACTTCTCAGTACGAATTATTTTGGTTTTGACTACGGGTGAATCTCAAGTCACTGATGATTGTCGTTTCGACCTTTCTAGACTACAATCCGCCATTTATTCCAGCTGCTGTGAGAAAAGGCTTTAAACGATCCGTCACCTGCAGCATCCTCACGTGTGATATAGCATACTAGCCGGGACAACTTCTTTATGTTTTCAGACGTGACGTAATGACGCAGCGCCATGCTCGTATTTCCCACGAAAACCTACCTATACCACTCAAATTAGAAAACTTTATTAAAAGCGTACCGTTGTGAATCAAGCTAAAGGCGATAGCTTTGAACACTGGCTGGTTATGTACTTGTTTAAAAATTGATTTTGGATAATTTTTTACCAAAAAAAGTTTCAGACTGCAGCTTTAATATTGTTATTATTATTAATAATTATTCCTATAATAAAAATAACAACATTAATAAACAATCTAAAATATTATATTATAACCATATATTATTTATAATTAGAATCATTATTATTCTCTATAATAATAAGTGTTAATATTATTAATGCATGTCATTCATATTATTATTATTGTTAACTATTATATATAGCATTATTATTAATATAATCATCATTATTATTATTATTAATAGTTATTCATATTAATGCTATATTGTAATAACAGCAGCAATAATAATAATAATAATCTGAATTTCTCAACGTTTTTTTTCCCTCATGATGATTTGCAATCAAAAACGTACATGTCCAATGTCATCTAGACAGCTGAAAATGTACTTCCTCGCCTCCTTGGACTTCAGTCCCGTTTCTGTCTCATGTTCTTCAGTCGTCTGCAGAAACAGGAAGCACGTTTGGAGTCATTACATAAGAACTTTACCTCAAAACTTTATGTGGAGCAGACAGTAACTCGATCCAGAGAGCTATGCTGTAAGTTTATGACAGCAATGTCTGGTTAAGTGGATGAGAAATGGACCCTTGCCTTCAGTCTCCAGGCGGTGTATGGTGAATCAGACTCCTTGATGAAGAATCGGGCCGTCTTCGTCCCCACGTTCAGAAGCTGCTCTCCTGGCAACCCTTGAGTTTGAGAGACGTAACGAATCTGCAGAGATGTTTATAGTATTAGTGGATCTCAACATTGTCATTTCTGATAAGACAAGTAAAGCTAAATCCATCCATTCTTGACAAGAATCTCTTGAGTAATTCACAAAGCATGCCACAAGATGGTAACGTGTGTAGTACTTTTCCACTATTCCAAGAGGAAGTAATGCGAGATAAGACTGGTCTAGAATAGGCAGGTCCCTATAAGTGGTATGCAGCAGGAAAACTGTGCCAAAATACCAATGAACCATTCAAGAAAGGTTTTGTCTTGACAAGTACATTCGTACCATAACCCTAGTGCTTACTAAAGATAAAAATGGCTTGAATTTATTTGTAGGCAACAAATATTCATTGACGTCACCAGTGATTGTGCATCTTCAGGTTGAAAAAAAGAAAAAGGAAAAAAAAAAGGTTTCAAGAAGCTACAAACCACACATTAATATCAATCAACACGAATCAGCAAAAACTGCTACGATATGCACAAAAAAGAGAGATAAAAATAAGCAAATAACTTCAGTTGTTATTTCAAGCCCTGAGTTGAGTTTCATGACAGCTAGGGCTTGGAAAGCCCAGTGTTTCACTCTTAATACAGAGCGCAGTATGGGGTCTGCCGCTACTCAAGGCTTTGTTAAGATGCCAAGTCAAGATGCTGGCCACTCTTTGTGCTCACAACAGATGTCAATCCTCTCACACCGAACAGTCAGGCAAACTCTGGGAAAAATGTGTTGTTTACCATTTGGCTGATGTTTTTAATCCAGATCAATTTATAGTACACCTCATTACATGGACAGTTTCCATAAAGCAACTTGGGTTCAAGTGTCTCGCTTAAGGGCACAGCTGACCTTAGTCAGGAAACGCCATGTTTAATTTGAAGCGAATGACAACTACATCAGAAATGAACCATGGATCAGGGAAAATGCCACTGGAAATGACAAAAATCATCCTGAAAGTGACGAAAATGCTCCAAAAATGTACAACATGGGTGTAGAAATGCCCCCCATTTAACATTTAATATATTCCATGTTATTCTAGACTTAGGTGTTTAGTATCAGGCTAGCATCTCTGAGCTGTTCATAGCTGACATGTAGCTGTCAATTCGGACCAGTATTTGCTTTCGAACACTGAACAGAAACTGTTAATTTTAACAGCAAATTTTGATTTAGTCTTAGTCAGTCTTTTGACTAAAGCTAATATTTATATTTGTCATCTGAATTGCTTTTGTTTTAGTCGACTAAATCGAATGGGTTTAGTTACAGTGTAATGCATTTAAGCATTTCTCTAAAATTTCCAAACTCATTATATAGGTTTGATTTTAAGGTTTTATCATGATAGACACAGATTTAACTGCTGTGACATAGACCATGCCTTTGTATTAAAATTAAATAAAATCACTTCTCATAAAGAAACAAGAACATGGTCCTGCTTTCACTGAAATGCCAATGGTTAAATAAGATGCGTTCTTTATAACAACTTGCTTACCACATTCTTTCAAGCAGACATTTATATTTATATAAATAAATTTAGATTAATCCTTATTAGGGCTACTAAAGCCATTCAGTCAAGAGCAGTGAGTGATTTTCTCTTTCTTTTGTTGATGATTAACATTAATGACAAACAATAGTAACTAAATTAGACTGCTGTCCCTTTAAAACTGAATGCACAAACGCAATTTACTGATACACATCTGATATTCTCCCAACGGTTTACGTTCACTTAAAGGGATCCTATTATGTTCTTTTACAAAGTCTTGATTTTGTTTTGGGGGTGTCAAACAGCAACATTATTATTGAACATTATTATTACCAAATTAACTAAAGTTGAAAAAGTGAAAAAGCATAATAGGACCCCTTTAAGACGTAACCAAATGTGTTAATGTGAATGCTCGTCAAAACGGACAATTCGACATCATTTTGTGTGTATTTCTCTGTTAATGCGAGGCGTAAGAGAGCTGAATTCAGCACTCGTGTCATGTGCTGTGTGAGAAAGGCTTTTCGGTGTGCGCTCAGAAAACCAGACCGAATTGTGTTCTCTTTTGCATCGTCATGCTTTTCAAATGTATCCATATGTCTGCTCTTCTCTTACTCCTAGATACTTACATTTTTTAATGTTTTACGAGACATGCAGCAAGTGTATGCTAGATTATGTCCCGCCGGATAGATCAGTAGGCTGTTACAGTTCAAATGTTTGCATCTAACCTCCTAACCACGCATGAGATCTGACCGGATCTCTTCCCAAATCGTCCCTCCCTAACATTTTCATCTCGTTTTTATTAGTTGACAAAAATGTCAAAAGAAATTCATCAGTTTTTGTCATTCAAAAAGTTATATTTCATTATCGTCTGTGAAAAAAATGTTGACGAAAAATGTCAATAGAATTTCATCATAGTTTTTGTCATTCAAAAAGTTTTATTTCATTATCGTCTCATTTTCGTCTGTGAAAAAAATGTTGACGAAAATTATGACAATTATTCATCAACAAAATTAACACTGAACAGAAATCTAAACAAAAAATTCTGATTCAAAAACATTCATTGTACCATGATACACTATCATTCAAAAGTTTGTTTGTTTTTCTTTAGGATTACAGCATTTATTTGAAATAGTTATAGTTTTCACAAAAATATTAAGCAACAATTGTTTTCAACACTGATGATAAGAAATGTTTCTTGAGCACCACATCAGCATTTTAGAATGATTCCTGAAGGATCATGTGACTCTGAAGACTGGAGTAATGGCTGCTGAAAATTCAGTTTTACATCACAGGAATAAATTACATTAAGACATTGAAATAGAAAACAGTTAGGCCTATATAAGACTTTAAAAAAAAAAAAGACAACAATCTAACAGAACGCAAACTTTTGAAAGGTAGTGTATCTTGTGCACTGTTCATAGTTAATTGATATAGATTTCATTTTATTTTTATCAGCCATAATAGCTCACATAGAGAATTTGTTTCAAATCATTGAAACATTGATACAAATAAATAGACAAAACCTGCATTTAAAAAAGGATTTAAAATAAATAAGACAACAACACACACTGTTTACAGTTAGATAATAAAATTGTCTGTAAAAATCAATTCAGGTGACAAATATTGCCCTCAGTTTTGATTATTCAATCAACAAAACACAGAAAATGCATATCCAGAAATGATCAATGACCTTAAGACAGTCTTGTTTTTCATTTTAATAGATTTCAATAACTTGTCTAACTGGACTTTGGTCTGTAGTTACAGACCCTTTGGTTATCACCTCAGATCTTTAACCATAACACTACATTTCTCCTTTTTTATCTACCTATGACTTAAACAAATTAAGAATAAAAAATCTACTCAGCTGCTTTAGTGTTGCGATTTGTTTGCCATAGCATCCTTTTTTAAATACAAGCAATGACTTCATAACGCAAATAACAGGACAAAGGCATTAAACAGTGTTTGGTTAACAACAGCGCTGTCTTTTTAGGGAAGGCAGGAGCAGTTCGACTACACCAATGCATAACTTTGCAGATCTTTTTTATGCTCAAACAGCAACATTATTATTGAACATTATTATTACCAAATTAACTAAAGTTGAAAAAGTGAAAAAGCATAATAGGACCCCTTTAAGACGTAACCAAATGTGTTAATGTGAATGCTCGTCAAAACGGACAATTCGACATCATTTTGTGTGTATTTCTCTGTTAATGCGAGGCGTAAGAGAGCTGAATTCAGCACTCGTGTCATGTGCTGTGTGAGAAAGGCTTTTCGGTGTGCGCTCAGAAAACCAGACCGAATTGTGTTCTCTTTTGCATCGTCATGCTTTTCAAATGTATCCATATGTCTGCTCTTCTCTTACTCCTAGATACTTACATTTTTTAATGTTTTACGAGACATGCAGCAAGTGTATGCTAGATTATGTCCCGCCGGATAGATCAGTAGGCTGTTACAGTTCAAATGTTTGCATCTAACCTCCTAACCACGCATGAGATCTGACCGGATCTCTTCCCAAATCGTCCCTCCCTAACATTTTCATCTCGTTTTTATTAGTTGACAAAAATGTCAAAAGAAATTCATCAGTTTTTGTCATTCAAAAAGTTATATTTCATTATCGTCTGTGAAAAAAATGTTGACGAAAAATGTCAATAGAATTTCATCATAGTTTTTGTCATTCAAAAAGTTTTATTTCATTATCGTCTCATTTTCGTCTGTGAAAAAAATGTTGACGAAAATTATGACAATTATTCATCAACAAAATTAACACTGAACAGAAATCTAAACAAAAAATTCTGATTCAAAAACATTCATTGTACCATGATACACTATCATTCAAAAGTTTGTTTGTTTTTCTTTAGGATTACAGCATTTATTTGAAATAGTTATACAGTTTTCACAAAAATATTAAGCAACAATTGTTTTCAACACTGATGATAAGAAATGTTTCTTGAGCACCACATCAGCATTTTAGAATGATTCCTGAAGGATCATGTGACTCTGAAGACTGGAGTAATGGCTGCTGAAAATTCAGTTTTACATCACAGGAATAACTTACATTAAGACATTGAAATAGAAAACAGTTAGGCCTATATAAGACTTTAAAAAAAAAAAAGACAACAATCTAACAGAACGCAAACTTTTGAAAGGTAGTGTATCTTGTGCACTGTTCATAGTTAATTGATATAGATTTCATTTTATTTTTATCAGCCATAATAGCTCACATAGAGAATTTGTTTCAAATCATTGAAACATTGATACAAATAAATAGACAAAACCTGCATTTAAAAAAGGATTTAAAATAAATAAGACAACAACACACACTGTTTACAGTTAGATAATAAAATTGTCTGTAAAAATCAATTCAGGTGACAAATATTGCCCTCAGTTTTGATTATTCAATCAACAAAACACAGAAAATGCATATCCAGAAATGATCAATGACCTTAAGACAGTCTTGTTTTTCATTTTAATAGATTTCAATAACTTGTCTAACTGGACTTTGGTCTGTAGTTACAGACCCTTTGGTTATCACCTCAGATCTTTAACCATAACACTACATTTCTCCTTTTTTATCTACCTATGACTTAAACAAATTAAGAATAAAAAATCTACTCAGCTGCTTTAGTGTTGCGATTTGTTTGCCATAGCATCCTTTTTTAAATACAAGCAATGACTTCATAACGCAAATAACAGGACAAAGGCATTAAACAGTGTTTGGTTAACAACAGCGCTGTCTTTTTAGGGAAGGCAGGAGCAGTTCGACTACACCAATGCATGAGTCTCTGTGTAAAAACACCATTGTTCTTGTTGCCTTGGGAAACCAAGCATTACTGGTCAGTGAACTCTGCAGACGTTCTCCTTCAAGCGTGCATCTGCTGCTTCTCAGAAAGACTGTGTCATAGTGGGCCTCTACCAGTGAAAACACAAGCCACTACAAAGCCCTCTTTGGCTGCTTGCTCTCATTCCTCTCCTTCTCTTCCTCTCTCGACTATGACGCCACCTCTCCTTTTACAAGCGCTGAGGCTCAACACCGCTGTGTTAAACAAGCAGTGTTTATGGCATCTTAGGGGTGCTAGAGTGACATGATCGGGTTGCCAAAGCGCTGCACAAACACAGAGCGCGCGCTGAAGTGAGAACCTGCTGATAGTGCAGAGAGAGTATGTATGTGTCAGTGGGGCTTTCGGTTATAAATACATTCTGCTGTGTGGAGTGGAACTGGACCCATTGCTGGCAAGGGTAGGCGGACCGGAGTCTGTGGTCAGCAAACCCAAACCAGCCTATACTGACATAGCCGGCTAGTTTTGCTACTGTCATACGCGCCATTTACACCACCTCAGACATCTCGTTTATCGGCAGCACTGGTCCATGATGGTAAACGCTCTCACACTTTTTTCATATGTGTGAGTCATCTTTCATGTTATGTGAAGAAATTCGCTTTAAGTATTGAGTTGACAAACCTGATAAATAAAACTAGTCCATTACAGAATTAGCAGACTTTTTTTTTGTGTGCATATTTTGCAATTGTTGGTGGAGAAATCTATTAAATACCACAATACACCGTTACTGATGGCTAAAAATACTAGCCAGATTGTTTAATAAAAAAATGTGCATTTAAATTAGCATAAATTCACAAAGTTATCTACCTGCACCAAGATTCACAATTGTCAACTAAGTATATCTAGATTCTAAATACTATATTATATTATTAGTTTACATATTACTTATTTCCTTATATATATATATATATATATATACACACACAGGTGCATCTCAATAAATTAGAATGTCGTGGAAAAGTTCATTTATTTCAG